ACACCCACTCCCTCTAAGCTTCCAGCCCTACGGAGACATCAGCAGGGCCCCTGTGCCCCACGGCTGGGGCTGCACACAGACCCCCAGATCTCCTCTGCGCCCTCCTCCCCACCGCAGGTCCCTGTTGCTGTGCCTCTGGCTGACACTGGCATGCTCTGCCTGGGACCCCCTCCTTCTCTGCAAGTCCTCATTCCCATTGGCCATACCCCAGCAGCAGAGTAACCTCTGCACGGGAAGGCAAGGCTGGAGGAAAGTGAGGGGCTGCCCTGCTCAGCCCCACCTCAGAAAAGCCACTGCCCCTCCCATCCAAGCCCGGGTACAAGGGAGGAGCCAGCACAGGGTGGCCACCTACCCACGCAGTCCTTCCGGTTCCAGTGGAGCCGCCTCCCCGGGGGACAGACACACTCGTAGCTGCCCTTGGTGTTGACGCAGCCCTGGTCACAGCTCCCGTTGTCCATGCTGCACTCGTCCACATCTGGAAGCACAGCGGGCGTAAGGGCAGAGGGGAGGCTGGCGGCTGGCGGCTGGCAGGGGAGGGGACTACCCAGGGCAAGAGGGCCGAGAATCTCCTGACCCCCAGAGTCAGACAGCATCACGGAATGCAGAGGAGCAGTGCACACGCCACACGCACACACACACGGGGGTTTAGAAGGCTCCTCACAGACCCCAACGTCCCTTCCCCTAGGAACCTCAGTCGTTTTCTGAACTCAGGCAGCTGCACCCCAGGCTGGGGGGCAGAGGAGGTGGCACGCGATGAAAGTTCCAACCCAACCAGGTTTTGTGGCACAGGGAATACGCACTGCTCCAGGGACTGTGAAACTGATTTTATCATGGGACTCTGGACAAGCCCTTTTCTAGCCCCAGGTCCCCTGCGGTACAACAGATACCAGGGTGAACGAGGTCACCTCCTCTGACCAAAAGCACCTGCTGGAGCTGGGGGAAGGGGTTGGGCTCCATGTTCTGCTAGTTCTTGAGCTGCCTGCACTGGGCAGGCCCAGGGAAGGGGTGCCCAGGTTTTCGAGAGTCTTTCCAGAAGAATCTGTAGCCCACTTCCAGAAGCCCAAGCACCAGCTGTGTCCTGATCACATTCTTGCCTGACCCTCTCTGATCTTCAAGTGGCCTGGCATCGTGAGTGTGGCTGCCCCCAGGTCACAGAAAAGGAAGAGACAGGGGGACCGTCCTTGGCTTCCCAATCTTCACCCACCACGCCCATATAACACCAAGTCCCAGCAGCCTGGCTCTGGCTCCTAAATACATCTAGAACCTTCCTCTTTGTTCCGTCCCTGCCCACCCTGCCCTGGCTCCAGCAGTGTGCGCTCCCACGCCTGGAGCTGCCTTCCCAGTGGTACCCTGGATTCCATTCTCCTTTCCATGCGGCCACTGGGGCATCCAGTTCCATGAACTTGACCATATTGCACCCCTGCTTAAACCCTCCACAGGCTTCTCCTCTGACTGGGAATACACCCCCAACTCCCCTGTGGGCTCCCGAGGCCTGCATGGTGGGGTAGTGCCCCCTATCTGCATCTTCCTCTGAGCTCCCTCCTCCTGTGGGCCCAGCCCTGTGGCTGCCTCTTAGTCCTTGTGTCCACTGCTTTCTCACACGGAAGCCTCTGGAGTGCCTCCCCACCCCCTAGCCAAACACTCCCCCTTGGGGATCCCGAACTGCGCCTCTACCCTACCCCTCTCTGCTGTGAGCCTCCCTGGAACGAGCTGTCTGGAATTTCCATTCTTGACTGCCTCCGCTCCTGGCCTGGGTTCTCTAGTAAATGTGGTTTCCAGTCCCATGCCCATCTGGTCAAGCCCTGGCACTGGCAGAGACCTGCTACCCACCTCTAACCATTTCCTGCTACCCCTTGTCTCCCCAGCCCTGCCCCACTTGCCCTTGGCTGAGCCCCTCTGCCCAGCAGTCCCTGTCCTTGCTAAGGCCTCGGGCCCCCCAGGGTTGAGGGCAGGGTTGGTATGCGGGGTGCAGTGTAGGTGGCCATGCGGCCAGGCGCGTGCCTCGGGGGGGAGGTGGCCCTGGCGGGCAGGCTGCAGACCTCCGCAGTGAGTTGTCCCATAGAGGATGTAGCCGCGGTGACACAGGCACTGGAAGCTGCCCGGGGAGTTGATGCAGATGTGGTCACAGGTCCGCTCGAAGGAGCACTCGTCGATGTCTGCATGGCCACAGGGAGACAAAGTTGGGGGAGGAGTTTGAGGGAGTGGTAGGTAGGCACGGCCTGTCACTCTCAGTCACTCAAGGCACATCTGTGGACACATAGTCCCTGGGCCGAGGCGCAAATGGGAGACTCCTTCTTGCTGCTTGACTTTCCATTGTGTTTCCATTAGCCTTCTGTTTCTGGGTTGGGAGCCACCTCACATCTTTTCTGGAGATGAGCAGGGCAGAAACATTGTGAATGGAGGGGATTATGATGAATCTCTGCCATTTTACGATCTCACAGTCAACTCTGATTAGGAGTGGTAGAGAGGCATTGAACCCACGCCTGCAGGAAACAGACTGCGGCTGGTCCCAGGGCCCTGCGGAGGCAGCTGACTTGGGACATAAACCTAGGCCTCTTGGATGCTGACCAAAGCATCTTTCCCCATCACCCCACGATGTTTCTTGAGAAAATAAGGAAAACCATACAAGTAAAAAGAGAAGAGGAAATATACCACCCATAAAGGTTAAAAAGGCAGCTCTGATAGAATATGAAAGGTGATGATGAGCTTCCTGGCAGCCAAGGTAAAAAGGGAAAGAGGGAATCTTTCCTTTTTTAAAAAGGGAAAGAGGGAATCTTTCCTTTTTTAAAAAGGGAAAGAGGGAATCATAGGGTGTTTGTTCCTGGAAAGGAAAAAACGAACCACCACGTTCACTGGAGATAAGTCTGTCCTGGCCATAAATTCTGAAGAAAATGGCTGTTATGGGACAGTTGATGTGGACCCCTGAAGGCAAAACAGACACCAACCTGCCCCTCCTTGGGCATAACAGTTAAGAGTTCATTCTTTGAAAACATTAGCTCATGTAATTTCACAAATATTTGTCATATATGCAGATTTATAAAAACACTAACACAAGGAAGAAATTGTGCATGGGTGCTCAAAGGTGAGTGTGCTCCCTCCCAGGGAGGATCTGGGACCTCCTGGTGCTTGTGGCACCTGGGATAAAATCTGAAGGATAGGACCAGCCTGGAATGAGGGAATGAGTGTGGAGGAAGGGTGATTCAGGCAGCTGCTAGGAGGTAGGAGCATGTGGTGCCCAGGAGACGCACCTGCTCCCTTGGGCCTAGCGCCATCTGAACTCCCCTCCCCTCCTAGGAGCCTCCTAGCACTCACCCTGGCAGGTCCACTTGTGTGGAGCCCAAGGGGGACTGCGGGGGTGTCTGGGGTCCCCTGAGTGCCAAGCAAAGGAGCATGGACCCTTGCCTGCTAGACCTGTGGAGCCCAGAGCCCCAAGGCCTCAGAGACATGGGCCTGGAAGGGCGTGGAAAAAGATACAGGTGGGGGTGGGGCGGGGGAGGACAGGGCCTCACAAGCGATCTCACCTCCTCCTCGACAGCCGCCTGCCTCTTTCAGGGGGCAGCTGGGATGCAAGGTCAAGGGCTCTCTTCAGCCCTCTGCAGAACTTGGCAAGGCCAATAGAGAAACAAAGTCAAAGTCAGAGGAACCCTGATAGGGCTTGGACAGACACTGTGCACCTGACCAGACCTCAGGAGGACAGGGCCAGAATGCCTGTCCAGGGATGAAGAGGCTGAGCCTGGGGAAGGGAGTGGCTGGCCCGGGGCACACTTGATTCTGAGGATGGCCGGCCCTGGCGCCACTCCCGCCAGCCTCCTGCTTTTACATTCTTCAGGGACCTTGCGGGAGCACAGCCCTCACTCCTCAGGGCCTCACCCTGCCCTGTGCCAGCCCCCGAGCTGCACTGACAGGCAGAAGCACAGCCCAGTACCCAGACAAGGCCACATGCTGCCCGCAACTGCTGGTACCCCACAGGCACAAAACAACCAGACCACAGCTGGATCATCGTCAGGGAAAGAGGGCCCTTGCCCTGCCACATGGGGTGCCCCACCCCCTGCACTTTCTCTCAATGTGGGGCCCACAGGGCACCTGTCCCCTTCCTCATGGCCTCATCCAGCCCTACCAAGTTCCTTGTGGTCCCCTAAACCTCCTCAGGCCGGCAGTGCCATCTCCTGTGTGGGTTTACCTCCCTGGCTCCTCCTGGAAAATCCCTACTCACCCCTCAAGCATTTCACCAACGGACCCTCCCCTGTAGCCTTCCCCGACCCCGCTCTGCACTGCCAGCTTCTGGGCTCCCGCTGCATCCTGGATCCCACTAGACTCGTCCTGGGCTGGGATTCTTGGCTTCTGTCCAGACCCCTCCTTCTCTTTATCCTTGTTTCCAGCAGGTGAGGATTGTTCGAGAGCGCCTGCCTGCAATGTGCAATACTTTCCAACAGATGGCAGCATCCCACCTCCGAAGCCAGAGGAGTTCGACGCTGGGAGGCCCGTGGGCCACATGGGGAGGGAGGGGCGGGTGAGCTGATGAGTTCGGCCACCGGCTCCCTCTGCCACCTGGGACATGTGCTGAAGCCCTCCCGGGCCTCAGTTTCCCATCAATAAAAGGAACAGATTGGACTGGATATCCCCTAGAGTCATAAAGGACCCCGTTCCCTCGGGCCCAACCCCATCTGCACTCCCCTCCCCTCCTAGGAGCCCGTGTCAGCCCAGGAGATTGGAAGAGGCACGACTCCGCTGGGCCCGAGGGCCACCTGGGGCATGGCAGGGGCTCACCCTGGCAGGTGCGCTCATCGGTGAGCAGCTTGTAGCCCTTCCGGCAGCCGCACTCGAAGCTGCCCACGGTGTTGCGGCAGAAGTGGTCGCAGCCTCCGTTGTTGACCAGGCACTCGTTGATGTCTGTGGGAGCCAAGGCGGATGGAGGAGTGAGAGCCAGGAGAATCAGCTTGCGTGACCAGCGGGGGGACGACAGACTAGCGGCGGGGATGACACTGCTCTGACTTGCCTGGTGCCCACTTCCCAGGCTGGCTGCTGGCTCCCCAGCTGGGCAGAGGGGTGGAGGCCCTGTCTCCCAGGGGTCAGGCCAGGGACTGGCTTGTACTGCAAAGGGCCAGCTCCCCAAGCTTCACCACTTCCCCTGGGACTTGGCAAGCCTGGGATGTGCGACATTGAGTAGAGAGGAAGTGATGGCTGCTGTGCCCGGCAAGAAAGCAGGGACGGCGACTCTCCCATGTCCTCTCATCTGCAGGTCCAGGGAGGCCGCCTGGCCGGCAGGGAGGCTGGAGCAGGCGAGCACCACTTCTGGTGACCTCAGCAAGCTCCTGGACCCCTAAGCTTTGGCCTCCTGTCTGCAGAGCGAAGACAGGAAGTGCACCCACTTTGAAGGACATCACGAGGACTAGAAAACATTTCCACAGTGCCGGTGCTTGATCAGCGCTCAAGAAACGTTTTTCAAAAAGTAGGCATTTTTGCCTCTGTTGGAGGAGTACACTGAGGCTTAGAGAGGGAAAGCACCTGGTTCAAGAGGCTTCAGGAGGTAAGTGGGCAGCTGCGCCATGCAGTGGGCCTGACGCTCCCCATTTTCCCAGCCTGACTCCTCGCCTGTTTGTTTGAGCTGCTTCTTCACTTAGCAGTGAATGAGGTGTAGTATGCTCCGAAGGTTGCCTGGCCCAATCCCGAGTAATAAATGACACCATCCTGAGCAACTCAACATCCTGAGTCAGTCTCTGCTTGCATACCTCCAGGGACGGGGAGCTTTCTCCCTCCCAGCATGGCCTGCCGCCGATGCCTCACAGATGTCTTCCTCACCCTGAGCACAGCCCTGACTCCTGTGAGCCCCCATGCTCCTGCTTCCTTGCTGGGCCCATCTGGGCGTTGCCCTTAGGCCCTGGGCCAGCCTGGCATTCTGTTTCATCAGAGGTCCCTGTCCCCAAGGGGCTTCTTCTCCAAGGGACACAGTCTTAGCTACTCCCAAATTCCTCTTGGGTCCTGACCTCCAGTTCCCCATGCCGGCCACCCCCTCCACTCTCTCCAGCAATGAGTAAGAAAAATAAGAGGTTTTATTTCTACACTACAGGGTGGCTTAAAAAAATAATCAGTGCTGGCCAGGCATGGTGGCTCATGCCTGTAATCCCAGCACTTTAGGAGGCCGAGGCAGGCGGATCACCTGAGGTCGGGAGTTCGAGAGCAGCCTGGCCAACATGGAGAAACCCTGTCTCTACTAAAAATACAAAACTAGCCGTGTGTGGTGGCGCGTGCCTGTAATCCCAGCTACCTGGAAGCTGAGGCAGGAGAATCGCTTGAACCCAGGAGGCGGAGGTTGCGGTGGGCCAAGATCGTGCCATCGCACTCCAGCCTGGGCAACAAGAGTGAAACTCCATCTCAAAAAAATAATAATAATAATAATCAGTGCTGGCTTTCAGGACGGCGGTCTCACCCTGACTTGGAGAAGCAAAAAGGAGGCAGTGGAAGAGGCCCTTCCAGAGAGGACAATGGGAAGAGCAGCGCCTGTTGGTCACCGGTCACGTCTCAGCAGACCTGCCAGATGCAGATTCCAGCACCTGCAGAGCCCATCCTGGGCGTAGTTGCTGGGTCAGGTGCCTGAGGGCCCGTCCAGTGTCACTGGCACCGCCTTGTGTGGCAGGTAAGCCTGCCCCCACTTTACAGATGGCACTGAGCCCCGTAGCGGCAACTTGTTCCTGGCACTGCTATTCCGACCTCAGGCCAGCCCATGTCGTTCTCACTTTTCTTTCCTGAAACCAAACAGGCTGGACTTGAGACCCGCCCAGAGTCCTAAAGCAGTGTTCCCAGGGAATGTCCCCCAACGATGACAAAACCAGGATATTAGAGGTCAAATCTCTGGTCAAGAATATTAGAGGCGTGCAGGGTTGAGATGCCCACATGGCTCTCTGGGAGCCTTGGGGAGGGACATAGCATGTACTTTCTGGTATCATCTCACGTGACCTTCAAAACAACGCAGACAGCAGGGCTCCCATTTCACAGAGGAGGCCACAGCACTGCAGCAGGAGCCGTGTCTCAACCAGCGCCGTGCGAACCCAAAGACGGGCCTGCTACAGCACATCACGCTGGCGCTGCAGCCACCACAGAAAGAGATATGAAGCCCGGCGGTGCTGCTCCAGGGCAGAGGTTTAGGAATCTGGATCATTCCTTCCCCTCCAACCCCGGGATTAGAGGCGGATGGGGAATTTCTAGATACAAGCCCCAGGTAGAAGAACAGAGGCCCATCTCGGCTCTGCCTCAGTTGGCTGTGTGATGTTGGGCAGGAAAGGCACCTCTCTGAGCCTTAGGGTCCCATCTGCAAACTGGGCTGCTAAATGGTGCCTCTCCTTGCATCCCCTCTCCCAGCATCCTTAGCAAACTGAAATGAGCTAAGGCTGCTAAGTAGACAGGGGCAGCACATGATCATTCTCACCACTCATGCCTCCTCAGTGGAGCCTCAGGCCCTCCAGAACCCCCAGTCCCATCCCCTGCCCCATCTGGGCCTGTCTGCTAAGGGGCTGTCATAGCAACCAGACAGGCAGAGGGAGGCATGTTTGCCTGAGGCCCAGGCTGGTGTAGCTGGCTGCCTGGGGGTCAGGATGGAGGGAAGCCCTCTCCTCACACTACCTCAGGATATAGTGAAGGGGCTGCTGGACTCATGGCCCCTGGGGTGCAGCTTCTGCGCCTCTCTTCCCTTCCACTCCTCCCTGGGTTCCCACCCCACCGCCCTCTACCAGGCAGCCAGCACCACCTTCCACACACAAATCTGGCTGAGTCCCTGCCTGCTGGCCAGCATTCTGAGGCTCCCGAGTCTGCTAGGATGTGGGCCCTTCCTCTGCAGAGGCTCCCAGTGCTTCCCTTCCAGCCCAGCCAGGCTGCCTTGCCTCCTCTCTCCAGCCTGCTTGGTTCCTGCCGTGGCAGCCTGGACTCCAGTGACTGCACCCAGTACAGCTGCAGCCCCCACTCTCACCTGCTGACCCCAGCCCTGGGAAAAACGGCCCTTCTAGAAAGCCTTTCCCGCGTGCTTTCCAGAGCCAGTAGCTTCCTCTTCATGGGACCTGCCTTTGGGGGCATGAGAGGGCCTTGGGACACAGACTTGGGGGTGTCTGTTCCTATCTCACACCCCAGGGCCCAGCGTGAGTGTCCAGGAACGCTCACTGAATGAACGAATGGGTCACGGTGATTCCAGACAATGGAGCGGGCCTGAGGGCTGAGGGAAGGGTGGGGTCTCGGGTCACTGAGTGGATTATTTGGGTGCATCACCTAGGGTTGGAACTCGAGTGCGTGTGCATGGGGGCAGGGCGATGGGGTGAGCTATAGGAACGCACAGGACACTGGTTCTGGCTCCCTCCTGCCCATCTCATGTGGGGGACCACGTAGGGGAGGGCTTTTGGGTGGGAGCAGAGAGGGGGCACGGGGTCATGGGCTGGCATCATGCTGGAGTGCCCAGCAGGGAGGGCCAGCTGCTGGGTGGGGCTGGCCAGGTGGCGGGCACTCGAGGGTACCATTGTTCCTACTCGGGTAAAAGCCCTGGCTGTGGCCTGCCTGGCCCAGAGCACTGCGCAGGGAGGAGAGGAAACAGGCAGTAGGTGGGGGTTTCTCCCGGAATGTTCTGGAGATGCTGGGAAGAGGGGCTGGTGACCCTGGGGGAAATGCAGGCTTCCGCTGAGGAAGGGGAGATACACGTCTGCCTTCTCTCACTGCCAGCCACCGGCAGCTCAGCCCTTCCCCATTTCCTTCAGCTACAGTCACTTTCCCATCCTCCTAACTCTTCACTTGCCAATGGCAAGCTGCAGTCCTGCGCCCTTATTCTTGAGGCCCAGGACCCCCTTCCTCTTGGAGGGACCGATTAGCAAGACAACCGCCTCCCAACACCAAATGGGCAAGGCACCCAGCAGGGAGCCCTTGAGACGAGGGCTTAGGCACATCTTCCAGGCCCGCCTCGTCCCCGACATTCAGACAAAACCTCCCAACTTCCCCACCTCTGCCTCCACCTGCCCACGTGACCCCTGCCCGCCCAGGGTTTGCAGCCCTGGGCTGTCCAAGCCCGCTGTGACCTCTGTTCTCCAGCCACTCCTCTGGCTTGACATTGACATCTTGGCTTTCAGAAAACATGGAGCCTTTGAACTCCCTCCTCTGAGATCCTCCCCAGACCCTGCCAAGATCAGCGTGCACCTGACCGAGGAGCCAAACCCTGGGGCCAGGGTCGTCAATTTGCTGGGAATCCTCCTGCCTGTGCCTCTCCAGCCAGGGCTGGGAACACACCAACGACACCAACCCTGGGGCTGGAGGCCACCGTCTGGTTTCCCAGGCTCCCTGAGGTGGTTCTGTGGGCAGTTCTAGCCAGTCCCTTGGTGCTGAAATATGGGCATCTATGGACATGTATGGTCTCTGCCTTCTCTATGTCTGCTGCCAGTCCTGCCTTGGCACTGCCATCTTGAGCCTGAGTGATAGCAGCTGTGTCTGGCTGCTCTTCCAGACCCTACTGGGACCCCACTGTGGCCCGGGTCAGTTCAAAATGAAAACATGGGCGTAAGCCTCTCCTGCCCAGTGCTGACTGGGGCCTGGCCAAGCTTGTAGGGTAGCCCTGGGCCTTGTGCCATCTGGCCCGCCTCCTTTGCATCCTTCCCAGTCCCAGGTCCTTAAACCCACAGGCCTCTGGCAACAGTCACAGTGCTGAAAATGCTTCCCCTGCCCCCACCATTGCCTGATAAACGCCTCTTCCCCTCAGCCCTCCCCGGCCTCTCCCACCTCCTGCCATACTGAACTTCTCTATCCCACACCAAGCAGTCTGTAATACTCAAATATCTCAGTGATTTAAAAAATGAAAACCTGTCTTCTGCCCTCAGTAGAGGATCCCTACAGGCAGGAAGCATCTCTTATTCATCCTTTCTCACCGGAACCTGCGTACACAGTAGGAGTCCAGAAAACGCACCTGTTCCGTGAGCAAGTGAGGTGATCTCTGACCTCAGCCAGAGGGAGCCAGGGCCCTAAGGGCTCTGAGTACAGCCACAGGCCCGGAGCTGGGCGTCCGTGGAGGAGGTTTGGCCAAAGGGCCGAGTGGGGCAGCCTGGTGAGAGAGCCCCAACTGTTTGAAGAGAAAAGGAAACATGGTGGTGCGGGGGTTGGGGCGTCGCCTTGGGGCTGTGGACAGCCCTCCTAAGCGCCACGCTACCCTCAGAGCCAGAACCAGAGCAGAAGGAAATAAGTGTCCCTTGGGCTACGAGGGATGGTTAGGGGGCAGCAGTGGGAGCCCCAATCCCAGTAGCCCCATCTTGGGCCACATGCCTGCCCTGTACCAGGCCTCTATCTGGCCCAGACAGGGTGGCTCCTGGCCTCCAGACCCCATTCCAGCAGCCCCAGCCTTGCCCGAGGAATTAAGCTCTGCTTACCCCTCTGGCCCTCCAAAGGCAAATGCTGGCAGGCTGTGCCATCGCTGGGCTGTGGAGATGCCCAGATCTGCACGGACCTTGGGTTTCCTCGGCCAGTCACTCCTGGCACTGAGTCATGTGGCGAGGACTCAGACGCCACCCACCTGCCCACTTGCCTGCCAGGAACGCACTGAGGCTATTAACAGGCTGAGTGGTGGCCACAGAAGGGCTTTATTTTCAAATAAACAGGCGGAAGCACTGTTATTTCTGTCAATAATCACTCGGTTCTTCCCAGCGACTTGGCAAGGAAGAAGTCATACACTGTACAAAAGTACATTTATTTTTACAGGCTTAAAAAAAGTCCACCTCAAGCTATTTTAAGTCACCCTAACCTCCACTTTCAATATTTTCCCCGACTGGACTTTGGAAGTTCCAGTTCCTCTCCCCTTCGCGCCCTGCTCTCTAGGTGCTCCCTTCCTGGCCAAGTGTGGGGGTACTGCCCAGAGCTGGGGTGGGGGCAATTGGAGGGTGGTCTGGAGCGATGCTGGGGGCACTGAGCGCTGCCCCTCACCCTTCAGCACAGGGGGCTCCAGCACTCAGGCCTAACACCCTGCCCCAGGGCCCACAGCTTCTTGGGGGCTCTGTCCATCCTTTGGGGGTAGCTGGATCTCCTCATCTCCAGGGTTGGTCTATTCCTTCCCCAACGCCTGTCTTGAGAGCCCAGCCAGCTCTCCTCTCCCAGCTCCCCAGGCTTCCTGTTTCCCGAGGGTCTCCTCAACCCAGGAGGTACTCGGTAAGTCTTTCTGGGGTGACTCAGGGGACGAGTGGGAGGATACACTTCTGCCTTCCCTCCCTGCCAGCCACCGGCAGCCCAGCCCTGTCCCTCCTTCCTTCAACCGCAGTCACTCTCAGATCTTCCTGACTCCTCATTTTCCGATGGCGAGCAGAAGTCCTGAGTCCTTATCTTTTCAGATGGGATCCCCCAGCCTCGCCCCTTCTGGTAGTGACACACTGTCCTCATTTTTCCTGGCATGAGTAGACCTGCGTGTCCCAGATGGCCCTGCACCAGACTGTCCCCACCAGCTCTGCAAGACCCACTGCAACCAAAGGTCAAGGGGTTTGGAAACGCGCCACATTCCACCCGCCTTGGGAAGCCACGATATCACTGAGGGCCCAGGGAGCCCCACGGTAGAGACGTTGGCTTAACTGTTTAACCCAGTATGCAGCCAAATTCTCGGACATCAGTGCCATTTTGGCCCAGGAGCCTGCTGATGTGCCGTAGGACCTGTGTTCTCTGGAACCCTGCTAGGGACTCTGCTACTGGCCAGCCCTCCCTCTTCCTGGCCTCTCCAACAGCAATGCAAATGATTGCCAGGTGTCCTTTCCCACAGCCACACGTGGCCCCCATCCAGCCCAGCCCTGGGCCCGGCTGTGCAAGCACACGGAGGCTCCTGGCCAGGCCAGTACAGGCAGGGGCGCCCACACCGCTCCACATGCTGACCTTTGCACGTCTTCCCGTCTGGCTGCAGCGTGAATCCAACGGGGCAGCTGCATCGCACGCCGGTGGCTGTGTCCTTGCACGTCCGGTCGCAGCCTCCGTTATTGACTGCACACGTCTCTGGGGAGCGAAAGAGACAGAGACCTCAGTCTCCTTGGGCAGAAGCCACTGACTTTCCCCTTCTGTGGAGAGATCTTCTGAGACAGGAGACCTGCGTTCAAGCTCTGGCTCTGATATACTCTCCGGCTGTGGGGCTCCAGGGAAGCTGTGCTGCCTTTCTGAGCCTCAAGCTCCCCATCTGTGAAATGGGGGAATGACGCCATTCCTGAGGGGTTGCATGCGATGAGGGATGAGTCTGTAAACTGCAGAGGGCTGTGCTTATGTAGAGGCTGCTGCCAACAGGGTCAAAACTATTATCTGGGGCCAGACTGGCCTGGTTATATTTAACTGCCCAGGGCTGGATCCCTAAAACTTTGACCTGCCTGGACTCAGACTGCAAGTCCAGGCTGGAGGTTACTTAGAGGTGACTGGGGCCCCCAAATGCATCTCAGAACGGAGTGGCTTGTGGCCCCAGCCAGGGACCCGACGGGGAGGTTCTGAGGACCTACACATCATCCATCACCTTGATGAGGCTTTCAGCCCAACATCTGTTCTCACTGATATTCCAAAGGCATCTGGTTTGTGTCCACTTGAAGCTTGTCTAGTGCCTTTTTTTTTTTTTTTGCAAAATTCAAAGGGGCTAGAGTGGCTCAGGCATAACTGAGGTCACTGAAGCTGTCATGCCGTGAGTGATCCCCCCCAGGCCTGGAGGAGGGGCTCACAGAGCTGGCACACCAGGGTGCCGGGGGCTCGCCCGGCCCTCGGGTCTCTGCCACTTGGGTTTCTTCCTGAGCATCTGGCAGGCTTTATCTTGTGGAAACTGTGGCTGCATGGGCTTCCCTCTTCTCCTTGCTGCTGGGAGGCAGACAGTCAATGGACGCCCATCGCTCATAACCTGGATTCCCCTGCCTGCCTTCACCTCGGCATCACCTGGACTCCTGGACCTGGTGTGCCTTCTCCCTGAAGGGTCTCCCTAATGGGTTTACTCTGTTCCTGTGCTGTGGGGTCTGCATTTCTGCAGGCTGGGGGGAATAAATGAATATGTACTGTCAGCTGTCAGGACTCCTTGGTGCTAATTAAATGAAATGCATGGGGCCTTTCTTTTGAACTTCACCTCGTAGGGGTGTGCAGCGGGAGAGGGAAACCGCACATTCCCGTGTGTGTGTGTGAGGGTGCATCTGAGATTCTGCAGGGCTGCAGTGGTGGGTGTCCTCCTCATGCTCATGGCTGAACCGTCACCACCATAGGATGAGCTGCAGCTGCCAGTGGAAGGCAGGTGGCCTTGACCCTGACACTATTCCTGGCTCGTCCTCTGTGTGTCTCCTCAAATCCTGGACCTCAGGTGGGCATGGGTGGTTTCTATGAACCAGTCTTTTGCCCGCCCACCTCCTGCCATGGCAGTGTGCTGGTCCCAGGGCTTGGACACCTCCCTCCTGTTCATCCTTCAAGGCCTGATTCAGAGCCCACCTCCGCAAGGAGCCTCCCTGATGCCCTGGACACGTGAGGGAAGGCGCCACCCTCCCTTAGGCTCATGCAGGTGGTATGACTGGCACTTGGCCGGCTTATGCCCTCTCGGCCATCTACTGGGACAGTGGAGGTGGGCAGGCCAGCAATGTAGTTTTTTCTATAGTATCATGTTCAACCCTGGTGCACTTGCTCCGCACTCGCACACCTGGGAAATATTAGAACTGAGCCTTCTCCATGCGGGTGGAGATGAGGGTCAAAATCAACGCCCGCTTGTACATGTGCCTGACTTGTTAGTTTCCTCCCTTGGGCTTGACAACCAGAGACGGGAACTCCTGCCTCCCACCCCGGAACTCCAGGAGACAATGGATCCCCTCTGCCTCCACACCCCGAATCCAAGGGAGAGCAAGTGGTCGTCCCCTCTGCCTACCACCCCCGAATCAGGAGCCAAGGACTCCCCTCTGCCTCCACCCGCCGAATCAGGAGCCCAAGTGCGCTCCGCCTCCTGCCTCCCACCCCGAGCAGGAGCCAATGGGCTCCCCTCCTGCCTCCCACCTCCGAATCCAGGAGCCAATGCGCTCCCCTCCTGCCTTCTCAGCCTTTCCTGTGGGAGAGCCCCTCTCTGGAGAAGCAGGCAGAAAACCTGCCTGTTTTCCAGGTGGAGGTAATTAAGGCTCAGGCCTTGGAGAGATGGGGGAACATGGCAGGGTGCAGAGGGTAGGGGGAGACAGGCGCTGAAAACTCGGGGCTGAGGGCACTGAGTCTCTGTGGAGGGGGAGGTGAGGTGTGGTGCAGGCGCTGGGGGCAGTGACCCTGAGAAATGGACCCGGCCAAACACACTCCAAGAATCCTGGAGGCTCTTCTCTTGCCTAAAGCCCCTAATGGGACTTGGAAGCTCAACCTGAAAGGTCACCCGCTCTCTGGACTAGGCAGCTTGAGTTCCTGAGTTGCCTCAGTCTATGGCTGGTATGTAAACAAGGGGCTCTTAGTCCCTTAGGGCCTGTTCTTGGGTGCTGACCACCCCGATCCACAGCAGGGGCCACGTGGTCACCACGGCCGGGCCCTGCTCTGTCTCCCACGTGGCCACCATGAGCCGGGCCCTGCTCCGCCTCCCACTCTCAGGCTCCCAGCCTGATGGCTCCTGTGCCCTCCACTTCCCTGAAGAGGACCTGGTACAGAGCATCAGGAACTCAGCCCAAGGCTGTGCAGCCTCAGTGGCAGAGCTGGAGAGGACCTGCTCCATCTGAGTCTAGCACCCTTGGCTCCTTGTGGGCAGTGACCCACCTGGCAGCGCCAGGGCCCTACCACCAAGCACGTGCCACTGGACTCTTCATCATCCTCCTCTAGCCGCTCCTCCCCCAGTGCTCCCTGGCTGCAGGAATGCTACCCCTACCTGCCCCAAGCCCAAGACTCTCCCATCCCCCGGGACCCAGGGCCTGGGCCTGCTGCTTCCCCAGCACTTCCCAGCTCTAGCCCCTGCTCTTACTGTGGCCAGGCCACCGCTGTCCTCCTGTGACTGTCACTGCCTCCCATCGTCCCTCCTCCAGACCACTGCCTCATCCTGGGCAGGCAGAGAAACGTGCCCACGTCAGGCTCACGTAAGAGCACTGGGAGCCAGCAGTCCCCAGGACGTTCTCTGTCAGGCTCTGTGCAGGCAGGGAGGGTCACGTGGAGGGAGCAGTCTGGCCTTGGGCCCGCCCTCACCTCTTCCAGCTTTGGGGCCTGGGGCAGGCTGCAGCTTCTTGCCTGGGCCTCCATCCCTCCTCTATAGCACAGGGATGGCCATGTCTGCGGTGTTCACCTCAGCCATATTGTTGTGAGGTTTTTAGATGTTCACTACAAATGCAAGACGGGTAGAGGGAGCAACAGTGAAACTGACCTAGGTCCTTTGGGCTGAAGTGGGGGCTGGGGACTGAAGTCTACAATGACAGGACAGGCGGGCCTGGTGGGGCCAAGCACTGTGTCCCTGGGAGTTTCCAAGCAGAGGCTCTGGTGCTGCTGCTGAGGAGGCCTCTGCCTTCCATGGTAACCAGCCTGGGCATCGCCCCAGCCCCCAACTCTGAGAGCCTCAGAAAACAGCCTCACCTCTCCTGCTGCCCAGGACCAGAGGCCACCCAGACCTGGTATTAGGCCACGGCTGTCTCAGAGACAGTACAAAAGCAGGCCAGGCCGCCTTTACCACAGGGTCCCTCCAAATACAAGCGGCAGACAGGCCCGATGGCTGCAGCAGTGGCATCTCTGCCTGGTGGGGAGGCTGGGGGTGGGCTCTGGGCCTTCCTCCTCCTCACCCATGGGCCTTCTCTGGATCCCATCCTGGCCTCTGCCCCTTCTCAGGGCTGACATGGCCCCATGAGGAATCTCCCCCACCCCGAAACACACTTGTGGAGGGCGGCTCAGGCGCCTGGGACTGGGAAGAGGAGGACGACGCAGTGCGGCCTCCAAGAGCTTCGTCCCAGGGAGCTGAAGACAGAACTTCCTTGTGGACCCTGGGAGCCCTCCTGTCTCTCTGTCCCCAGCCTCTAGACGGGAGCTGCAGAGCTCCTTCTAAAAGCTTTCTCTCCCCACCTGGAGAGATCATGGAACAATACAGCCCTTCGTAGTGGACAAGGCACCTGTCATCCACGAACCTCAGCAGGCCTCACAGCAGTCCCACGGGGGACACAGAAGTGCCAAAGCAGACAGGCGCCAGAGGCATGGAGAAGTTACCTTGCCTGTCCAGGCAGGAATAGCTACATCATTTGTGGAACCCAGTGCAAAATAAAAATGGAATGGTCTTGTTAAAAAATTCCTAAGAATTTCAAGACAGAGACAGAACACAAAACCAATATGGGCCCTTCTAAGGGCGGGGTCCTGGGCCACCGCACACGCCGCACACCCTAGAAGCTGGCCGTGTTCAGGTCACACAGCTATTGGGAGGAGCTGGTATTTGAAACCTGGGCTGCAACACTCCAGGCTGGTAATTAAGCCAGACAAGGCCAGAGAACCAGGACTTTGATGGGATCCTCACTGTGAGGTCTGCACCCCCTGGTGCCCTGGCTTCCTCCTCTAGCTGGTTGGGGGAGCGCTCGCCCTGTAGGGCAAGGGTGGCCAAGGAGGAGGAAGGCCAGGTGCAGGGCTGGCTGGGGCTCGAAAGTGTGGGGGGAAAATCTCAGACAAGTTAAAAGGTCTGACCTTTGGTCTCTCT